TTCTGTGATTCTGTGATTCTGTGAGTCCCTAGTGCAGGCTGGGCAGTGGGTCTAGGGAGGACTTTGAAAGGCTGCAGGTATTTAGATGGCTGTCTAATTCTGGTTCTTTGTGTCTTATTAATATTTGCATTTATTACCTCTGTGCTTTGTACTGAGCTTTTGTGTAGTAGTACTGGATGATTATAACAGTCTTAAAATGATGGCAGTCTCTGCTCTGAAAGAAAGCATAAATCTTCTAAAATGATAATAGTATATGTGTAATAGCTGAAATCAGCTAATGTGCAGAGAGTGGCAAGGGTATAATAAAAATACTTTGAAATGTGTTTTTTGGGTGTGGGAGTGAGCAGCAAGGCAACAAGTCACTCTAGAAGGCAGTACAGCAGGAGCTCAGACACCTGACACTTTTAACAGCACCTGCAATTTAACACTATCAATGTATTTGTTTGAGGAAAATCTTTGCATAAATCTTTGTTTTACTCAAGTGCCTGTGTTTCCTCTGTCTGCTAGAAATCTTGTTTCTTTAGGAATAGTGATTGCTGTTTGTCTCAGTGCTAGCTGTTACACAGGTGTGCCCTTTTTACCTTTCTTATTGACACCTGTAGACTAAAAATGTCTCCAGTTCTACATTCGATGAAGAAAACCTGGTGCAGTCTGTTTTTGACCTTTTTCTGGCTGGCTCAGAGACCACCGCCACCACTCTGCGTTGGGCTCTGCTCTATATGCTGGCTTATCCTGACGTCCAAGGTGAGTTGTAGGCATGAACATGGGTATGTTTCAAGTAGAACAATTGTCTGTTACACTTTTTTTTTTGTTGTCATTAAGATCAAGTTTTTTTGAAGATCAAGCTTGCTTTTTTTCCTTTTTAAGATCACATTTTTGAGCTTTGCTTTTAAGAAGCCAGTGAAGTAGAAAACTTTTAGACAGAGATTTTAAAATAATTTCAGGGATATTCAGCTTCTGATACTGTATTTTGTCTTATTGATTTTTGCCGGACTGTTTCAGTACTGTAAGCATATAATGGAAGATGCAGTCTGGCTGAAAACACTCCAGGTGAAATATGAGCTTCGGTTAGGGAAAAGTGACACTTTTCTGCTGTCCAGAATGTGTAACAAGAATCTATTATTTGTACTCTTTAACTGAGACACCTGTTGTATTTCTGTATAATAAGTATATTTATTGTCACACATGGTAATGTTAAACAGAGAAGGAAGGCGATAATGGGAAGATAAAAAGATGTCTGGAAAATTCTAGACAAGGACATAATTCCATGCTAGTTTCAAAACTTTTGAATTATTTGATACAGTGCTTTCAGAGGTGATGAATTGCGAAGCCAAGTGTATAGATAACAGCCAAAAGAGATTAACAGTTGGTAATATTTTCCTGTTCCAGTTCTCAGCATTATGTATTTGTGATCAGCTTGATACGATGGCTCCCTTGCAACATGCTGATTAGCATGCTCTGAGTCTGTATTTAGCTCAGGTAAAAATAATAGCTTAAGCAACTGAACTGATCTCTTAATAAGTTCTTGTTTTACTTACAGTTCGCCCCACTTCCTTTCACTATGAAGCTCAATAAATCTGTTGGGATTGGGGAAGGATGATCTGAACATAGAACCTATAAACTAGAAAATATGTAGTAAAATAATAACTAGATTTTTCTATAAATATATTTACATTTTAAGATACAGTAAGTATAAATTATTTACATGTTGTATTTTTTTCTATCACTACTATAATTCAAAAAGGAAATGAAAGCTCTGTTTCATGGAAAACAGTGTTCTTGTATCTATAATGGCTTTTTTTGTTGTTCTTGTTGGTAGAAAAAGTCCAGAAAGAGCTAGATGCTGTTCTGAGTCCATCCCACCTAATCTGCTATGAGGATCGGAA